CACCTCATACCTCTACTTTTAATGGCAGTCACATGCTATACCCTACCAGTGCAACCATGGCATAGCGAAAATGCCGTTCACGTGCTAGGCTTACGACTAGAAGTAGCAATCAGCAGACAAAGAACATGGAGATGTGGAGAATGCCGTGGCTGGCAAACTAGGCTCCCGCCGGGATGCATGACGCGACTCCTCGGACAAAATGTTGCCAAAGCCGAGAACATGTCATAGCGCAGCTTTCACATGGCACGCACGCATCCACAGCAGCTTGTCACATGCCGAACCCTCACCCAACCACAGAGCCTCATGCAGCAAATGCGCCGCGCTTGTCGACGGCCTTGACGCCTATTCAGAAACATGGATGACCATGGGCTGAAAGCATGTCCATCTTTGTCCCCTCTCTCCTTCTCCCCGATCTCCCTAGTGGTAGTAGTACAATCCTTCCCCCATCGTTTATTACCCCAGGTTGGCCGCCCGCAACATACCCCGGATTCCCACATTTCTGGCATTCACACATGCTGACGCAACACTTGGCCGCTGCAACTACCGTGGAGACCCGACTCTGACGCCTCTCATGACGCTGAACGAGGCAAGCTCTTTGTTTGACAGGTTCAGAATAAGAATATCCGAGTGCGCTTTGTAAAGGGAAGCGCCGTGCGAGAGAGAGTGAACGAGCTTGCGCCATGATAGATCATGTACTTGGGCGGCCGTCAGTGCAATTTCGAAAGATCCAGGTGCTAGCAGTAGTATCTTTCTGGTCCTTTTATCTCTACAGGTAAAGTGCTCATGCAGTGTCACCAACAGCACACGCTTACAACCCTCCCTTTCTAGAGGCGATCGCCACGGGCCCCCAATTGTCCGCCGCATTTCCGCCCTTCTCTCCAGGAAGCTGACTGTGTGGCAATCGGTTCTCGTAACGCTCCTCTACCTCTACGTTGCCCGCAACTTTGGCAAGCTTGTCGGCCTCGAGTGCCCCGAACCGCTCGCAAGCCTCTACTCGCGCTCCTACTTCCGCGCCACATGGGTTACAACGGCACTGGATGCAGGCTTCTGGTCTGCCATGCGCATCAAGCGAAAGGGCCTGAGGGACTTCCTGTCGATTGTGTTTAGCATATATTATATGATATGCGCAGAGCAGGCCGACGAAAAGGTGAGAAAGATTAGGGCTACTCTCACTGTCGATCACCTGCGTGTCGCGTGGAACAAAGGAACAACTCCATATCTTGGCGCCTTGACCAGCCTGATGCGCCCGAGACTGATGGTATACCCGCCGCGCAAAATCAGGATACCACGACCAAGAGCAAGCTCGTATAAAGAGCCTGTGGCTGCGTGGTTGTATTTCAACGGCCCACGAAGCGCTCTCAAGAAGCACGATAAGATTGTGCTGGATATACCTGGTGGAGGCTTCGTTGCTATGGACCCAAGAAACCACGATGATAAGCTCATGGGGTGGGCTGGTAAGACCGGTCTGCCTGTGCTGAGTCTGGACTACAAAAAGGCACCTGAACACCCGTATCCATATGCGCTTAACGAGTGCTATGATGTCTACCATATGATCATGGCTTCGAGGGGGACATGTATGGGATTATCGGGAGAAGTTGAACCCAAAGTTGTCGTTTGTGGTGATTCGGCAGGCGGTAACTTGGCTGTGGGCATGGTGCTCATGGTTCTCCAAAGTGGTTCGACCGAAACGCGAAGGTGGCAGGGCGAACGCGCATTACCGCCCCCTGTTGGCGTAGTGCTAGTCTATCCAGCGCTCGACATGAACATTGGAAACTGGATGTCAGACGAGCAGATGGCCCTTATCCGCGACCGAAGAGTGAGGAAGACCAACCGTCCTATCCTTCGACACAAGAGCGACGACTACCGACACCTTGCCCCGAATACTCCTTATGGATCTGATACCGACAGCGATGATGATGATACCAAGAGACCAAGCATAACCAATGGTGCAAATGCAACTTCCACCCGCACCCTCAAATCTGCCCAGACAATGATCAGGCTCTCTGCTGCCCATACTGGCATAGATAGCCACTCCCTTCCTCGCCTCGATACAAGTAATACCACCGCCAATGGTAACACTGCCACCGGTCAAGTAACATCAGCAAGCACCAACAGTATGCCACCTACGCCATTAGCGACTCAGCCACCTACTCCAGGCGCATCGCTACCAGCACCTCCTACAACCACCATTAAAACCCGCCTTGCAACATCGAGTATGATTTCGTACTTCAACGACCGCATTCTGACGCCGGAAATGATGCGGGCTATGATCATCCTGTATATAGGCCCGCACCATCGTCCAGACTTTAGCACCGACTTTCTTCTTTCGCCGCTGCTCGCACCAGAGTCTCTCCTAGCAAAATTTCCCAAGTGTTGGATGTTGACTGGTGAGCGTGACCCGCTTGTCGACGACACCGTCATCTTCGCCGGACGTCTACGACAGGCCAAGCGCGCAGAATGGGTAGCAGCCAAAGACCTCGGCCTCGACTGGGCTCGCGGCGAGTTCGACGAAGAGAACTGGGTAAATGTCGATCTCATCCCGGGAATCAGCCATGGCTTCTTGCAATTCGTAGGCGTGTTCCCCGAGGGCTGGAAGTACATTCATCGCTGCGGCAAATGGATTACTGAGGCTTTTGACGCTGATGCCGGAAAAGGCGAGCTGGAAACACCCATGTACACGCCGCTTGCTTCTGTGAGACGGCCGGGCGAGATAGGAGGCGATTATTTCGGTACTGTGGGGCTAGCAGATGCGATTGATGGACTTACATCGCCACAGCGGGGCAGACACCATCGCCGAACTGGGACTGCAAGCTCAATTGATGAGGATAGGCCGCTTGAGATGACGGTGCTGAACAAGGGGAAGAGAAGTCCGCAGAACAATCAGTCCGTGAAGGAACGTGATTTGAATGTAAGGGGTAGGGGTAGAGTGAGGAAGAGTGAGCGTGGTAGAAGAAAGAGTTTGGTTAGTTTGGCTTCAGAAGATGATTTGCTGGGGAGGAGAATGAAGGGCTTGACGGGGGGGTTGGGTGGTGATGGTGTTGTTTGAGGATGAGAAAGATCGGGGATGATCATGGTTGTGTTTGTTGGGTATTTAGCGTGCATGAATACATAGCGGTCTTTGATGAATGAAATACATGGTCTGCTCATGCAATGTTCCATGCCTTGTCGGCGCTGTTGTCGGTGTACATGATGACAGGGTTTACGGTGGTACCTTGAACCTGTGAACGTGTAGTTACGCACATCTCCTTTTCTGTCTGAGGACCTTCCAGATGGGATTTGTAAACGCATTGATCCGCTGTGTGGTATTCTGCTCAAAGGACGTGAAGATGCTCTGTCAATTGTTAATGAAATAATCGTCTGCTGTAACCATTTTGTACGAGCCCTCTGATGTGAGTGTAAAATTTTGAATAGGCACAAGGTGGTTCACCTGACCTACGTCTAAGACGTGACAGTAAGGGGTTTTTTGTCTTTTTTTTTTGCGGTCGCGTCCAATGAAGTCATTGCAGGAGCAACTAATGCCGTTGTAATTCTCTCGCTCAATATCTGAGTCATGAACTGATGCTAGTGAGTACCACTTCATAGTGGAGCTGCACGTAGCAACGGAAGGAATAGGAAACTAGCAGATCGAGCATGTGTGAGCGGTATTTCTTGACTCGTAAAAACGGTTTGTACAGTGAGTACTAGGTGCATGTAGATGGGAATCATACTCCAGTTCCGAGGTTTTGGCGCTGCAATCTTTGTGCTCATTCGTAGTTCATGTGCTAGTGCACCTTGGATTTCGATGGTAGTGGGGCGTGGTGCCATGTCGGGGTTTGTACAGCTCGTATTAATGGTTGGTGGAGCCGTTAGATTTGACTCGTAACGAAGCTCATCCTGCTGCTGATGACTACTGTCTCACTTTGATCTTCACAAACTATCGGATGCTATACGTTCGTTTCTCCGTATTCCATGGCCGGTTCTACCCGAAGTGGCCCCAACACATGGCTCTGGTGCCCCTGGGGTTTCTGGAGAGTGGGCCCAGCAGCACTATTGCAGGGCCTCCAGGCTGGGGGAGGCGAGGCTGGAGCGGAGCATGTCGGATGGTGTACTGCAGCTAGATACACTCCCTCCCTCCGTTCTCTACGGCTACGTCCACAAAGGGCATGGGCGCCGAAACCCCAGTGGTAAACCTGGAAGAGAGCCTCGCTGGCCAGGGCTTCCTCCGCCCTCCGATTCCGATGGTGATACGTGCGTCGAACTGGTCTGCTACTTTTTGGCAATTCGCACCGCTTGTTGACACACCCAATGGCACAACGACGTCATGGCTCTGACGCTTTGACTGAAGTGAAGTCGGTCGAGGCTCCGGCAGTTGGACGGTGTTGAGAACTGGTTGCAAAGACTAGTCATCCGCCACTCCCGCATGTTACCCGATGCTTATCTTTACCTACTGTGTGTCCAGCTTTGCGGGGTTCTACTTGCACGAGCTCAGGAACCTCCAACAAAACTCCATGGGGAACGACGTTCGAGACGAGGGGGGGACACGTACACCCTGCCTCTTGTGCAATCGGTGGATATCTCGGGTGAAAACTTTGTTGGATCGCAGAGCCTCATGTGGGGCGGTAGAAGCTTCTTTGCAGCCAAGCTCCACCAAGACGTCGGGCCGATGCTTGTCTATCAACGCCCATCTCTACTACTACTGGATGATGATTGGCAAACCTGCAACAACCAGCTTTAGACTCGCGCTTACTGTTTTCGCAAGGGTCCCGGTATCGCTTTGCGCGCAAGCCAGAAAATTTGCTGCCTCTGTGCCATGGAGACTCCACATTACGTCACTCTAGTCGTATGAGGAGCACCATGGGGACTTCTCCATGGGCACCGATCTTCTCCACTGGGGTTTATAAAGGGAGGAGATGTGCACAGGAAAGCGTTTTTCTTACCGTGTGCGAGATATTACTCGCGATTCCGCTGCGTTTCTCCTCCCTCGTTTGAACGCCCTCTCCTTTGGTTTATCACTGCCCATCATGGACGAGAAGGATACCAAGATGGCCGAAATTGGCAACAAGTCGCCAGACCCACAGCTCGAAACTGAAAAGAACGACAACATTCAAGTTGCTCCTGCGCCCGATTACTCTGCACCAAAGGCCCGGACAGAGCAGCTTGAAGATGCGAGAGGATGGGAATCTGAGAATTTGATCCAGGATCTTTCAAAGCAGCTTGAGCAGACCAATTACAAGAAAGGATTTTTCGATATTGAATTCAAAAATCCTAAGCACTTCACATGGATGCTTATTGTTTTTGCCTCCATGGGTGGTCTGCTCTCTGGTCTCGATCAGTCGCTTATTTCTGGTGCCAATTTGACACTTCCCGGCGACTTGGGTCTTACCGATCAACAAAATTCGCTCGTCAACTCTGGTATGCCTCTAGGTGGTAAGTTTCCAAAAAAAAAAGGTATTCTCTTTCCGATACTCAGACTAAACTCATCTAGCTGTTGCTGGTGCTTTGCTCATCTCGCCATGCAATGAGTACTTTGGTCGCCGCTGGGCCATCATCATTTCCTGCATTCTCTATACCATTGGTGGCGCTCTCGAAGCTGGAGCCATGAACTACGGAATGATTGTTGCCGCCCGTGTCATCCTGGGAGCTGGTGTCGGTCTCGAAGGAGGTACCGTCCCTGTCTATGTCGCCGAAACCGTCGAGAGTAGAATGCGTGGTAACGTTGTCTCGCTGTATCAATTCAACATTGCGCTAGGGGAAGTTCTTGGCTACGCCGTCGCTGCCATGTTCATCAAAGTCCCAGGAAGCTGGCGCTATATTCTTGGTTCCTCGCTAGTGTTCTCCACCATCATGGGTATTGGTATTCTCTTCATGCCGGAAAGCCCCCGATACCTGATGCACAAGAAGCAGCCTCTTGAGTCCTTCAAGGTATGGAAGCGTATTCGAGGTATCTCTACACATGAGGCACGCGAGGAATTCTTCGTTATGAAAGTCAGCACCGAGATGGAGGAGGCTGAGGTGGCCGCTCAGCGCACCAACCGTTTCCCATGGATGGACTTTTTTACCAAATCCCGACCACGACGCGCCATTATTTACGCAAACATCATGGTTTTTTTGGGACAGTTTACCGGTGTCAATGCAATTTTATATTATTTAGGAGTTTTGATGTCGCAAATGGGCTTTAATACCTACGATTCCACATATGTTTCGCTGGTTGGTGGAGGCTCGCTTTTGCTTGGCACAATCCCCGCTATATTCCTCATGGAAACCTGCGGACGACGTTTCTGGGCTATTTCCATGCTGCCTGGCTTCCTCGTTGGTCTCGTCCTAGTCGGTGTCTCCTACCAAATCACTGATCTCAGCGGCAAACTCGCTGTATACTTTACCGGCCTGGTCCTGTACATGTTGTTCTTCGGTTCCTACGCCGCACTTACTTGGGTCGTTCCATCTGAGGTCTACCCTACGTACCTTCGGTCCTACGGGATGACTACCTCGACTGCATGGCTGTTCCTCTCCTCCTTCATCATCACCTACAACTTCACTGGCATGCAAGAGGCCTTTACCAAGACAGGTCTTACCATTGGATTCTTTGGTGGCATCGCTGTTGTCGGATGGTTCTACCAGATTTTCTTTATGCCAGAGACCAAGGATCTTACTCTCGAGGAAATCGACCAACTATTCCAGAAGCCAACCAGACAACTTGTCAAGGAGAACATGAAAAGTTCTTGGGAAGTTACGAATGATCTGTGTCATTTCAGATTCAGGAAGGTATTTATTGACAACAACCGCAGGCGCGGTCGTGAGGAGTAATGGATATCATGCGTAGATTCGCAGTGGCCATCCAGCACGCTTCACGCAGGGCCTACTCAGCCCTTGTTTGATGAGTACACGGAGTTGAGACGAAACATATAAATATGCCGAACTCAGAGATGACGATGATGCTGAATAGATTTCATTCTAGTTGTTCAATACCCCGGATAGATTTTTTTTCGATCCAATACATCATTTTAGCAGTTGCTGAAAAAAATCCCACTTAAAATGTGTCCCTCGTGTCTCTGAATGCCGCTCTGCAAAATAGATCAAAAAACTAAATTAGGATGCGTACGCCATTCTTTTGGTCAATCAACAGAACCCCGGGTCAATAGCAGATACCCACGACCTCCACAGGTTCTCCACACTACCAAATACGATCCATACAATCCCACAAAAAAAGGGACATAACTAAAGCCATCTGCATCACCAGTCTCACCGCAAAGCCAAGACCCCAAATAGGGGATACCGGAATCCAGCAAGCTGATAAAATCACATTACGCAACTTGTTTTCATTTGACACATCGCAGTAGCCCCTCAAATGAATCTACAGCTCAAGAAGAAAAAAATAGTTTCTAAGCCAAGTCAATTCAAGACACAAAGTAAGACAGTCCAAGCGGCATGCCTGGCGCAAAAACCTCCCCGAGATCAGACATTGTCTCAGCAACAAGCATGTCTCTCTGTCTCTCTGTCTCTCTGTCTCTTGTGGCTTGTAAAAAAGAAAGAAAGAAAGATCCAGCGTGTTTGCCATGTTCTTTTCCACCTTCATCTCCTCTCTCTCTCTCTTTAATTCCGCCAAAGAACAAACCGACAAACAACGAAGAAGAAAAAAAACAAAACACCGCCTTCGATTTTCTCAGCACACAGGAATTCAGAACTACCAAACAAAAAAGAGTTCAACGGCAAACGTTAGCAATCTTTCGTCAACTGGGATTCAATTCGGCTCAAAGTTCAATGATGACGCTCACCGTGTTTCCCCTCGACGGCGGTTCCTTTGACAACACTCCGCATGTCATGTCCTCTGGCGCCGCTGTACTACCTAGCTGCATGCTCATCGCTTGTTTCGTTGCCGCGGCTGTTGCGTTTGCGGGTGGGAGCGAGGGAGTTCTAGATCAAGTATTGGAGCTGATCATGGGCGGCAATCATGGTTAGTCTTTTTTCTTTTCTTGCCTTCGTGCTGTTTCTCTTCCTTTCTTTCTTTTTTTGGTGGAGGGAGACTTTGTGGAATTCGGGGGAATTCTGCGTTCCAAAACGTGTGGGGTGCTGGATTGTGGATTCGGAATTTGAGCGGATGGGGCTAATGCGAGTGGTGGGGTTTTTTTTTAGGATCTAATAGGATTGTGGCTAGTGCTGCGGTGCCTTATGGTGTGGAGTCGGGTGCGAAGATGGATATGTGATGGGGATCTGGGAATTGGGGCGATGGCGAGAACGTAGATACGGGATGAAAGCGGGGAGCGGGATAGATGGGACGTGGGAACGTGAATCTTCAACAACAGTCAAGCAAGGGATCAGGGACTCGATCTTAAAGTTCTTACATCAGTTGGGTTCATCTGATGTCAACGTGAACAGTGTTTCATTTCACCGACAAGTAGATTTCGGAAACTTGATTCTTCTATTCTTGGTAACTAATCTAATCAATGAAATTTGGGACATTCTGAGTACTACTATGTAGAAAATGCAGTATTGTGTGTTCTTGGAAAATGTCTTGCACGATGGAGGATAAAGATTTCTCAAGGGCTCGGCTCAGTCATTGAACCTGCCTCGGGTCGAAAACAGAAATATGCAAAAAAAGAGAATTAACTGAAGTCTCTATGTCCCAATCCCACCTTACCCTTAGCGAATTCAGTACGTAGAAGCAGTCACTTCCAGGATAGGTATAGAGCTATCATGAACTGGCGTAGTAGCACCGGATTGCCTTGTTCTGACCGAAATCGGATTTGGCTGCATGACGAGGCTGGAGTACGCATAATGTTTGACTGATCGTTGGGGTAATACTGTAGATGATCCGTTTCGCCTAAGACGAAGAACGGCCGAGTAGCTTGAGACATGTTGTCATCCGGCATATCATGTGTGTAGGGATTAGCCTAATCACTAGTGCTTCGCCTGGGCGGCTGCATGTAGCAGTTACACATGGGTCTCGTGACCTTTATCCTACGTACGTAGGTGTGGCGGGGCGGTGAACGGCATCACGGAAGGTCATGTGGAGGGGAAATTTGGTTTGGTGAAGATCGACGTCGTTGTACTCTTCCCGTGGGGCAATTGGCAAAATAAATTTGTAATGCCTTGACCATCTAGTAACCATGGTTACACTATGATGTGTTATACATAACTCCACTAGCTGTTAAGGAGCACGTGCAGCTCTGAGAAAGCAGCATTGCCCTTGCATATACGCTACTGCAAGGAAGCGATCCGCTCGGTTCAGACGGACCATAATAGCTTCGACAAGATCACTGGCGTGCAATGTCATGACACGCATATTGATCATGAGTCTTGTAAAGATCCTCTCTCAGCTTTTGATCTCGGTAAAGCTTCCAACTTTTCCATGGGTAGCGTGACCAAGTATGCGGTAGTGTGTGTCCAAAGTCGGCAAAGGACATTAAGTGCGATTTCCAAGTCTCCCCTCTTGCCACTATGTATCGCTCTTTTCCATGTCGTTGGTGTAGCATTAGTCCGAGATGGGATGGTATCTGTAGCACCGGGGGTGTTCTCTAGGGACTTCCAGATGGCTTCTTATGAATATAGCGGTACGTTGGTATTCCACACGGTCTATTCGGAGATGTGGTAAGTCGACAACATGATCCAGATTCTGTTTTTCCCGTTTCTCATCTCCCGTCAGCCTGCCCTTGCTCTTTCACCCTCCTCTTTTCGCCAATCATTGCAATTTTCCTTTCCATCTCATTCTTCTTTAGGACTAAATCGGCGCGTGTGACTTCGAGTTGGGCGATCCGTTCTTCGGGTGTGGCTTGAAGAACCTGTCGTTTTTGCTAAAGAGACAAATCGTTAGCATATGATCTTTTGGATGCTCGGGACTGGGATCAGTAGTCCAGATTGCCTTCAAAAGCACACAGTGCATTTGTGAAGAAGAAATCTTTACGCATCCTTTACACAAAGTGAATGATCAATATACCTGCTTGATTTCTTGCTGTCCCTTCAACCCCGCGCCATAGATAGTCCCGGTTATTGTGATAGCAGCGACTGCGCCAGTCATGATCCAGCGCCGGACGGTCTGGAGAGTTGCCATGGTTCCTCACGAGGCGAGCCCAGTAAGACGATGCGATAAGGGACCAATGGTGGTGCGCAGGGGCAATGGAGTTGAGGCCGCAGAAAAGTCGAAGCGGAGTGGAGATTCCAATCGCCAAGCCCTGTTCGCCGCGGGAGTCCCACCACGATCCAATGCGACGCGTCCCCCACTTCTGCGTCCACAACAATCACACCACCAACACTGACGACCAACGATTATATCCACCTCGAATTCCAGCGGTAAATCTCGGAGGCATCTGCGGTTACAACAATTACGATGTCGAATGTTCCTCGCTCCCACACTCCAGGCGGCTCGCGCCTCAGTACCGTACCCTCGCAGAAGCCGCGCCAACTCTCTCACCTACAAGCGCAACTGGCACAACTGACGGCAAATATGGCGGATCTGGAGAGTCTGATGCGTATGACGGCTGGTCAGGCACAGGATATGCGGGGATTGGGCGGTTATGCTGGCGCCATGTAAGTTGCGACAGTTGGGATACTCGGTCAAGTCCAGGACGAGGAGCAGGGCTCAGGCTGTGCAGACGACAGGCGCTAACGCTGGATACCTAGGTTCATGGCGGCAAGCAAAGTCTTGGGAGAAGAGACGGTCAAGGGTGGCGGAGTGGTGGACGACAAGAAGGCGGGAAAGGAATGAATTAAAAAAGCCATACAGCGACCGTGCTATATATCCCGCGCACACCTCGAATACCTAGACGAGACGAACGTACAAACAGGGCAAGGCGGTGTCATAATCGGTAATCTCTGTGTCACGTCACATCAGGCCGATTGACGAGATAGGGAGCGTGGATGTCACCCTCCCCACGGAGAAGGACGCTTGGATATCAGCAAGGGGACGGGAGAAAATGCTCGAGAGATGGAATCATCGGGATGGATACGGGTACCCGACGAAGCATATGATGGTTCCTGCAGCGATACTGGATTGGCGTGGTATGGATGAAAATGTAGAGCCACCCAGCAATGTACTCACATACCATGATATAAAATCCCCGCACCCCGATTTTAGGCCCTCCCCAAATACTGTGGGGGCCCCTTATCCAAACCCACTTGCGACGATCATGCCAAAAAACCGCGATTTTGATTGCCCGGCTTACACGACCGGCCGACGGCGAGAACATTAGTTATCATGGCAGCAAATAGGCCCCAAGACACGACAATAGCAAAAGCACAGTCTCGCCAGCTCAACAAGATGCAGGGTCTGGTGTTCTTATCGACTACGCTGATTCGCCAGGGCGTGTGCCCGGGGAAGCCAAATGATGCTCATTGCTTCGCGCACAGCCGCAGTATACATTTCCCTGCGTAAGATAAGGTATCTGGAGATAGTCTATCTCTGTTTCACATCCGCAATAGGAAGGCCGCCTACTCGCTGGATATGTGGACTGCACCCAAACTGACTACGTTTCCCTGCATTCATAAGCACTATTGGCTGCTCGGACGGTGAGGAGGGAGGATGTGAGGCTGAAAGAGGGTGGTGCAAGCACCACTAAGAATACGGCTATCAATCGCGCAATGATAACGCGCAATGGTATCACTGCACGATCTGGCTCTGGCAGTAGACCCTGCACCTGTATAAGAGGTCGCATGTGCCGCCATTGCATTTCTGGGCTGGAAAGCAAATCTGGCCCCCCTCCCTCTCCCGTTTTCCCTGTGCACTGGACGACCTGATTCCGCTCCGCCGTTGTGGCCCGATTCCGCTGAGGATGCCAAGATGGCGCGCCTTGAAGACGCCTTTCCCTTCAACAAGTCAAGCATGAGCCATTGATGGTTGGCCTTCAACAACAGGCATTTTATTCGAGAAAAAAAGCCACAGCCCTCTCTCCCGTTCCCCTCGGACGCAGCAGACACTCTAGCGAGTGTGCAGCCCATCCACGGGTCGGCCGGACTCACTGACGTACGCATCATCCCCGCTGCCACGAATCTTTCCTGAATTCCATGTCGAGCGGACAACCATGTAGCAAAACGTCACGACCCAGGACGGACAGGCATTGCCACTGCCTTGATTTCGACGTATAGACGGCCGGCAGTGACATGTAAGCGCTGACGAACAACCTTGTACGAATCTGGAGAGGGAGCACGCGAGACTGCAGCAAGCATACGACGAGGAAAAGGACCCTATTCCACTTTGTTCACTCACGGCCGAGCCCGTTGATGGTCGACAGTTTGTGTGCCCAAGTGTGGATCGACCAAGGGCGGTGTCGTGGACGATCAAGGGATCATCCGCCGAATTACCCATATTCGAGTCTTCTAAATGAATCACGTACACCAACCCCCACGTGCATCCCGCGTCTCGTATCGAAGGCATGCGACCTTGAAACCTTGTCTAAGCCAACGAGGCGTTTCGACCGTGACGAGGAGAAGGCAGGAGACATGCACGCGCATGGTTGCAAGGGGATTGGTGTGGGGGGGGGTGGCCTGGTGTTATTGATTGTCGGCGGTTGCAGCGGTTGATTGGTGCCGTTGGTGCCGTGTGGACATGCGAGGGGTGCGCGTGTGTGTGTGTATGGGTGTGGATTTCGGTACCGCGCTAGCACCAGTGCTAAGGGTCGCGGTCCAGCAAAGCGGATAATACCGCGCGAGGATTGTTCCGACAAAGAGCAAGTGCAGACATCCGATAGCACAGGCATTGGAGGATGTTTTGGAATCAAGATTGGATCAGGGCGAAATGCAGCATAGGACGCAGAGGTGGCTCGTGTTGTTGAACGACTACTGTGTGTGTAGCGTGCCCAAAGCCATCAATGCGGCGACAAGCGAAGTTAGAGCAGATTCAGTCGGGTTTAGCAAAGGATCCAGGCTCCACTTTACCAGCTTATGCATGCAAGTCAGAAGCAAATGGCGTTTTTTTGGAGGGGGGTCGGATGGGGGCTTGGGGGCGCTTGCATGGACAGGGATGCTCGGCTTGACCGCTTGCTCTTTTCGGGGCAAGACACGTGGGGGTGCATCCGCTTCTCAATATCGAGCACACCTTGCCTGCATGCCTCTACTGCGGACGAGTAGACTGGAGACGGAGCCCTTGGGCCGCACTGGATTGTGCCAGAGTACATGCTCCGGAGAAAATGGCTCAGCAGTCGGCGCAGATGGATGTTAGTGGAGTGATATGACTTGGTTGTGATATTGGTTCGCATGTGAAACTCCGTTGGACTGGTGAGCCGGGATCTAAACGACTGGCTCGAGATTAGCCGATGCACGACGTCAACCATCGGTGCTCGCGGGCTGGTAGATGAGTCGTACCCGAAGTAATGCCAGTAGGGCAACCCATGGTATGCATCCAGTAGAGTGAGTAGATGAATGACTATGTATCAATGTATTGATGCACAGGAGATTGCTGGACCCTTTTTTGCGCCCCTTGATATTACAAACAATACCGGTGGGTACGGCTTGGTTGGACCCCAAAAGCAGTGCGGTTCAAGGCTTTGATGCACCGACCACTACACACAACAGCACCATATGCTCGTGGAGAAAGCCGTGAGGAGCACTGAAGTCGACGACCTGTGTGTACTGGAACCAATGCAAGCCAAGAGGGAGCGACGCTCTTCGATCTTCAAGGGCTGCCTCCAAGCCTCACAGATCGCAGTGCAAATGGCAAAAAAAAAGTGGCTGCGCCTCACATGCCCTGAGTACCGTATGTACTGTACATGTACATGGCTCTTTGCCTGACGTATGTCCCTGCCTGGACTATATGTGTGTAGAAGCATGGATAGCAGTGCAGGTAAAGATCTAGAAGAGTTGCCACCACCGACAAACCATGGCCATAGTTCATGCGAGTGTTGCCAGTTTCACGTTGCTCTCTCCACCATGTGCGTAACGGTTACATGTGGACGAGTACTATGGATCTGCCTCGACCCGCGCGGATTTTCCGACGGCTGCAGTGGCTACATGTCCGTTTGTGGGTGCTGGTGGACTCTGGGTGGAACAATGGTTTGGGGTTCTTGCTGGATTGGAACAGAAAAGGATTGCGGGTGGATGTGCCAGCGTTGCCGGTACAAGGAGCCGTGTAATGGGGTGAGGGCAATGCCACTGGGGCGGTGGATACTGTTGAGCGCGCCAGACGCTCTAGTTGTACCTGTATTGCGTGTAAGGCGCGTCTGGAGATTGTGCATCACCAAAAGAGACTACAGCCACGTGCTCGTGCGCAGTGAGAGGTGGGCCCGCGGTAAGTAGAGACTAATCAAGGTGGTGGGTCTGGTAAGTAAACAAGAGACCCTGAGATGAGGCCGTGAGGCTGTCGGGAAATGTAGGGATCGAAGTGCCGAGCCCAAGGGCGGGCTGCGGCAGTACTCGGACCTGATACTCCACAGCGGGTAAACAACAAGCAGGTATTGCAGCATTTTGGAGAGGGCGAGTGCGTCTCGTTTTTTTGGCGCTGGCTGCACCAACAATGCCAGCCAGTCGAGCGAGTCGGGCGGACCAGCCGGATAGTGAGCAGTGCGGCGAGGCATACCCGCCCCAGAGTGGGAAAAGGCCCAGACAAGACAGGCACATAGTATGTACGTACGTCCGTACTAGATACATATGTAGAATATAGTAGGTGTGTAGGTGTGTACACACATGGCTACACGGACGTGTAGGCGTGCAGTGGACAATCGTGTCGCTGCTGCTGCACGCCATTAGCGGACCAAGCACAAGGCAGGCTGCAGGCTGACGAACAGCACGGCTGACGGAGCCGTTGTTTATTCACGTAAGCTTTCAAGACTACAGTGGCTGTGGATCGCGAAGCGGTGCTAGAACATGTCAAGAGGAATAAGGGAACATTAGCGAGGCTCGGGCAGACGCAGTCCGATGGCGCATGCGGCCAGGAGGAAAAGTGACGTACCCAGGCGGGCGTGGCAGGCCGCGAGGCCAAAGGGCCAAAGGGCCAGACACGGTGGCCAGAATTGCCACAGGAAAAAAAAATAGAAAATCCTCCCGCAAGTGGTCGCACATGCCAATGCTTGTGCTAGCAGTCGAATGGCTCCGAGCCCGTTACCCAGGATCCCAAGTAAGTGTGTGTATGAGCTGCACGGTTCAGGCGGTCTTGAGACGGACCGGGGCCTGCATGCTAAGCGGCAAGCAGCAGAGGCAGGCGCACCTGTCGCTCAACCGCCCGCCGCCGTGGCTGCTGGCTGCTGGGGCGGGGGTGGGCTGGTCGCCGAGATTGCTGTTGAGAGCAGAGTGCGTCCTGGACTTACAGTGTGGAGAGGACAGAGACCGGATGGCCACGATGCCATCCGTCTGTCTACCATCCATCTACCGACCAAGGGCGAGGCAGACCAGACACCGCCAGGGCCCCAAGCAACAGCACGCCCGGCTGCGCGTCTGCGTCGAGGCTGCGACTAAGTACACAGTACGAGGGCCACGCTGCCTGCACGCCTGATTGGCGACCGAGGGTGAATTGGTGGGGGCTGCGTGGGTGCGAACGCTCCACCCTCTGCATCTCATCCTCCTCCCAGAGGCCCAGCGTCACCACTCTCGGCCCACCCAGCGCCCCCTGCTGCCGTCGCATGCTGGTAGCCCGCAATCGCTGCAATTCAATTATTGCGCCGCTCACTGGTCGTCCACGACCCTAAACATATCGAGGGTCCTTCCCCGTGGAGGTGAACCAGCACCACGACTGCGGCCACGACCACAGCAAGCTGCCCATCATCCTCCTCCTCCAGCCCCCCCCTCCCCAAGCCCACACACAGTCCACAGTCCACTGCAACCCCGGCCACGCCCAGCTCCCTCTGACTGCACACGCACCACACATCCCCTCCCTCCATCCCTCGCACTAATTACCCACTGCCCAGGGCCCCATTTCGGCTGTGGTTGCAGCTGAGGGCCGCCACTGCTGCTAACGTGGGGTGCTCCCATCCGATCCAGAGCACGCGCCGACGCACGCAGCTACATCATCGCCTTCCCTCAGTGTCTGCTGCACATTTACCACTGCTTCCCAGCGAGGCCTCACATCCCGCCTCCAGAATTTCCATGGACTTTGCCCTGCCCAAAGATACCATGGAGATTTCGCCGTCGCAGGACTCGGCCCGCCGGGGTGTGCTCCAGGATGCCATATTTCCAGCATTCGGCAACGATGCGGGCAGCCCTGGGGCCGAGTCGCCAGAGCAGATGCAGAAGAACGACCCACTAGGCACGCAGATATGGAAACTGTACTCACGAGCAAAGACACAGCTGCCCAATGCAGAGCGCATGGAGAATCTGACATGGCGGATGATGGCCATGAACATGCGTCGTGCTGACATGGATCGCAATAAAGGGTATGGATGCCGCCATTTGCTTTTGCGCCACGACCAGCGAGCCTGCCTCAACCAGCTGCTAACCTTTTGTTTGTCCTGTAGGCTTAGCCAGAACACACAGAGCAATCAAATGATGCCTCCTCCAGCGGCCTCGTCCAGGCCGCCGCCCCGATCCGCTCCAAGCGGCATTGCCCAGCAGTTGAGAAAGTCGCAGGATCAGCAGGCGCAGGTACACCAGCCTGCCCAAGACGCAATGAACCTGGACGATTTTATATTTCCTTCGTCGGTTGGCAGTCCTGCAGGCCTATCGCCCCCAGGGTCGAATGAGGATGCGGCTCCATTTATTGCAACAGCCCCAGCGATACCGATAAGGAAGCCGCATCTAGCCAGCGACCATAACCTTTCCCTCGCCCGCGCCTCTGCCCCCTCGGTGCCTCCTGCCATCAGCAAAGAGGATGAATTTGGCTACGTCCCACGACACGTCCGCAAAACCAGCATCGACGAGCGACGAGTGAGTCTTGCCCTTATCTCTTCCTCTCCCTTGTTGCCTCCTCCTCTTCCCTATCTCCTCTCCCCTTGTTGCTCTGCTCTCCTTCTTTGCCTTCTCCTCGTCGCTCCTCCCTAACGCCTTATCAGCCACCCAAGCGCCGCGCTGAAGCTTCGCCTCTGGTCCCTCCTGTCAACAGCATCATGATACCCACCGATGCTCACTCCGAGGCCGACCTGCACCAGTACTCGCTGGACAACACCACCATGCAGCCGCCCACCTTCCCCGCCTCACAGGGTCAGGGTGCCTTCTCCCTGGATACCTTTCAGATGCACGAAGATGCCACCGTCCACTCAGCCGGTCCTTACCAGCAGAGCTTCTCGGGCTTCTCTCCCGTCGGCTCGCCTCTGATGAGCCACAACGCATTCAACTCAAACATGTTTAACCACAACTCCATGGCCTCGTCACTCAACTCCACCGACTACTACTCTCCACCCAGCTCCGCCTTCCCCTCTACCGTCTCGACTCCGCAGCCCATCTCAGAAGACAGCCAAATGTACTTTGACCGCAGCGGCATGGATATCCGTACCTCACAACATGGCGCTTCCTATGGACCCCACCGCCCATCAAACTTATCGACGTCGATGCAACCGCAATACATCTTCAACCCTGGGGCTGGCGGTCAAGACTCCGTCTTCAGCCCAGTGACAAGTGCGAGCTCCTCGCTGCCATTTTCAGTGTCATCATTTGGCCAATCAAACCACGTCGATCCGTCGCAGGTGCTTCACAATAACCTGCCCTTGCGCCAACAGCACGAGCTGCAAATGGGTCGTCAAGAGAACATGTTCACCTTTGGCGCCGACTCCGACGCCGAGGACGACGAGGGAAGCGCCTTCGCCGACCGTACTATGCCACCACAGGAATATTCGCAAATGGACGACAGCTCCGTCGACTTCAACACAGGATACCAGTGGGAGACAAACCTCTCGAACCAATTCAATCCCATGCAAGCGCGCTATCCTGCTGGCCCGCCACGCAAGACCGTCACTATTGGTGGCACCGAAATGGTTCACTCACCGCAAGATCATTGGAGTCCCGGCGGCAGCCTTGGTCGGACCCATGGCTCGGCGGCTTCTGTAAGCGACATACGCAATAGAGGCACCGATCCACGACGCCAGAAAATACCCCGCACCAGCTCAACACCCAATGCAGCTGGAATGATGCATCAGGGCATGCACAGCCTCGTGTCATCGCCAAACTCGCCTCCAGAGTCTGGCTTCAACTCTGCGGCTCCATCGCGACCTCAGAGTCCTGGTGGAACGAAACAAGGCGAAGGTGGTGCCCCGACGACTTGCACGAATTGCTTCACCCAAACAACGCCGCTGTGGCGCCGTAACCCCGAAGGGCACCCACTTTGCAATGCATGCGGCCTGTTTTTGAAGCTACACGGCGTGGTTCGGCCCTTGTCGCTGAAGACCGATGTCATCAAGAAGCGCAATCGCGGTAGTGGCAACGCACCAGTGGGTACTGCATCCACACGCTCGTCAAAGAAATCTTCCCGTAAGAATTCCATTGCACACACACCAGTCACGACGCCCACGTCGCACAAGGCGGCTGGTTCGGAGTCTCCGAAATCCACCGGCTCAGCTGGCGGAGGCTCCAGCAATTTGTCTTCCGCTACCACACCGACCTCGTCCAAACCAAACAATGTAGTTCCCATTGCTCCGGGCCCACCAAAGTCCAATAGCTCCGCAACTTTGACACAAACGCGCGGTGTCGCCGTTGCACCCAAGCGAAATCGTGGTCAGAGCAAGAGCGAGTCACAAGAATTGGAAATGGCCGACGCGGACGACACTAATGGAAGGGCGCCGTTGCGCAGAAAAGACACTGCCATTGCAACTTCCAGTCCCTTCCCAGGACAAAGCCTTGGTGCTCTTCCCATGGGCGCAATGGGCCAGGGTCTGCAGTCATCTGGTCCTGCTGAATGGGTATGTATACATGTGTCCACGTCGATACGTCTTCTTTTTTTTTACTAACAAATTCGATGTAGGAATGGCTGACCATGAGCTTGTGATTACGGCAAATTTTCTTGCATACATCTCTACAGCCCCACTTCGGACCAACGCCGAACATTCATCCTGGCATCCCTCGGGACCGATTACGACCCGCACTGCTTTGTTTTTACAATAATGGCCCTGGTGTTTGGAGTTTTGAACAGCCAGGCTCCTATTTTAGCCATTTGCTCGTCTTTTGAATGTCTTTCATTTGCCTTTGATACCTCAGCCTTTGGCAATGCAATGTATTGCAACGATAGACATGGCCTCGCTTTTTGTTTTCTGACATACCCTGTTTGCTTTTATTTTTCTGTTTTCCAAAGGGTCAGCAGATGGAGGAGGCAGGCGCTCCATGAGGCTGTACACCACCCTAATGTCTCACAAAGGAGAGAAAGATGATGGGTAGGGGCGGATGAGAGCTGCCTCTTTGTATCCATAAGCATCATATCTTTGGGACGACCATTTTTTCCACTACATGAGCTCACGAGAGACATCCTGGGATCCGTAATGCATGCAAGATGCATGTCTGCACATTGTGGTATCAATGACACATTGGGATGGGGTAACAAGGCTCTCTTTGTATGGGGGCAAATCAGGACAACTCGGGTTATGTAACTGGATATAGCACAATGGGTGGATGTGTATATATGATGTGTTTTTTTTTTGGCATTTTTGTCTAACATCTTTGATGGTTTTAGCAGGCGATCATTCCAGGGCAACAAGCGAATGCTATTTGTATTGACAAGCTTGACTGCGCGTATCTAAAAGTGATGCCTTGGTTTTCTTTGCATACCATTGAGAGACGTGCAATCGGTTGTGTAGCGCATTGGTCAGTGTTTGTCGTGCAGGAAGAAGGTACAAATTGAAAGGTGCCGTGGGCCCGTTCCCCGGCTTGTCATTGCCGAGTCTACTGGTTGCCGTGGGCCGGCCCTTCCGTCATCCATCAGGCACAGGATGTCATCATACCCAGGTCATGCTTAACCTGTTTTCTCAACTACACCTTCAGATACCGCAAAATTCAACCATATCGGCCAATATGCCCAGAGCTTTAATCCTCGTTGCAAATGGATCTGAAGAGATTGAATTTGTCACTCCTTATGATGGTATGTACGGAGCCACGGCTGTGTGATGCCGACAGCAGGCGACTGAGGACAAAGCTGGGCTCGGACGCTGACACACGGTTACAGTGTTGACCAGAGCGGGCTTCGAAGTCAAGAGTGCAGGTGTATCACTCCAAAACGAAGCATATGCCCAGTCAGTCACGACTCAATGGATGAAGGGCATCCGAGTTTTACTAACAAGTCGGGGGCCCGTTCTAGCATGTCACGTAATATCCGCATTGTACCTGACTACCTGAATCTCAACTCTGTCCCTTTGCAACCTGCTCATGAGCACTTTGACGTGCTTATTCTACCTGGGGGCGGACCGGGATCAAAGACGTTTTGCGAGAGCGATGCCGTGTTGAAACTAATTGACGACTTCCAACAGGCTGGGAAGTGGGTTGCTGCAATTTGTGCAGCGACTACGGCACTAGTCGCTTCAGCGAAGAAGTTTGGCAAGGAGAAGAAAAGGGTCACCAGTCACCCAAGTGTGGCAGAAGAAATCAAGGTTGCAGGCTGGCAGTACAGCGAAGATCGACTGGTCGTGGATGGAAAGGTCATTACGAGTCGGGGGTAACATAAGGTCTCGCTTGAAGCATCGAGCAAGTTTGCTAACTTTCGGTACACAGACCGGGCACTGCGATGCTGTTTGCGCTCACGATTGTCCAAGTCATCAGTGGGAAAGAGAAGAGAGACGAGATTGCGGGACCCATGGTACTAGCCGAGAAGTTGTAGGGCAGACGTATACCGTCGGCTGTTGAGCTCCTATACAGCCTTCAGCGCACGCGATGATGCCATTGCTGTAGGCAGGAACTGCCTACGTATGCGTATTCCCAAAGGCTGGTCGGTTTGGTCGGTAGATACACGAGCCAGTAAAGACAGTCGCTATACGCGTAGCAGACCGTTCAATGCACCGATGTCTTTGCTGCGCCATCCGCTCTGCTAATGCCAGTGTCCATGCTAACGCGAAAAGGCGCGACCCCGCGCACTAACAGTGATGGAACAGAGCGACAGTTTGGCTGTGCAACATTTGTTGTATCTACCTCACAGATGCGCACATCAGGCATGATTCAAGACACTGTCTCGCTTCCATGCCCATAGTCACGTACGCGTTGAGATGATGCAGCATGCTGACGTATGTGTTCAAGGGGCAAAACGCAATGGAAGAAAGTTGTCAACAACAAAATGACATGCAGCTCGGATTGGCGTTGTTAGTGTGGAAGTTTACCGAATGCGAGGTCGTTCGACGTTGTGTAAACGGATGCGAGGTTCCCGAGCTGATATGGATATTTGATTGGAGGCGGGAAGTGGCGGCCTAATCAAATGTAGGTTAAGCACACGCCGTCGTGTAAGGACAGATCAGCTCCGCGACGATGATGCGCTGAATTCAATATACGGACATGCCGTGCAACGCCGCAAGCGTACCATTCCCTGGGCATCGTGCTATGGCGAGGACAGCGCGCTTTCCATGATGAGGATGTGGACTTTGGTGGGCGTCATCCACCTCCTGAATGCGCTTAGAGGATGCTGGTCCCTGGTGAAGCAACCCCACTGCAAGATTCATTAGCCGAGCTCGCTAGATGATTAAGTGGCTTGAGCCGCAGACACTCCGCTCTCTTGTCGTCTCACTGCTGACTTTGCTAGGCCGTCCATGCCGCCGACTGTCCAGCATTCATGTGTACAAAGCATCTGCCTGTTTGCCAGGAGTGGTCTTTGCTTTGCCGGCGTCCGGGCAGCGACCTGGACAGCTTCGTCAACATATTGAGTTCGACGAAACACACAGACACGATTATATTGCAGTAAATCCCTGGACGTATTCCGAGCACCTTGATTGGATCGTGCAGGCACGAAACCGAGCAGTGGAGTCGGCCATGGCCACGGCTGTGCCAGTAGAAAAGCCGTCATGGAGACTGTCTGCAGATCTCTTGCCAAGACCCTAGAACATGTCCAAACACAGGCCATGTCTGCCGCCGTATACACCGTGTACACCTCCTCTCTTCTCAGGGCCGCGGCCCACGCGAGTAGCTTAATGCACGGCGATAAAGCCGGGGGATCGCTTAGATGCTCTCCTATATCTTGCGTCTCCCCTCCATAAACATCCACTCCCAACTTTGGCATAACTACCTACGACGTCTCGAATTGACTTTGCCATTTCTTCCTACCGCCTCTGGCACACAATCCTACCAACATGGACCCGCAGGTTGTTGCGCAGATAGTGCGCACGCTGCAGACAACAGCCATAGCTGCTGTCATATTTGCAGCATGTGTCTTGCTCCCCAAACTCCAGACCAAAGCTCAGCTTGGGAAGCTGCCTTCCGCCAGCCCTGACAGTGGTGAGAAGGCGCGGCAAGCATTCATGGCATCCGCAAAAAAACTCTATCGAGACGGATACCACAATGTACAACGCATTTAACCTCTGGCCAAAAGCTCATCTGCTAACCACATGATCAGTTCAAAGGCAGCGTCTTCAGACTTGTCAATGAAAATGGTAGGCCAACCCCCTTCCTAAAAGCAAACATTCACATCGTTACTTACATCTTGTCCAGGCCAAGAAAACGTCATTGTGCCTCGGAATTTGCTGCCAGAGCTTCGGAAAATCCCAGACGATGTCCTCAGCTTTCCAAAGGCCATAGAGAACGTGCGTTGAAAATCTACCTTGTGTTAGAATAGAATAATCTTGCTAACCTCATCTGGTAGGATATGGAGGTCAAGTACACCAGACTGCAAACCGAGGGTACTACGGCCATCCATGTCATCAAGGGTGAACTTACTTCAGCACTACGTAAGATTTTAAAGCATAAAAGGCACTATGGTATATGAGCTAGTTTTTTTGCTGACCTCCATCACAGCTCGATTGAATCCAATCATCTGTCAAGACGTCGATGCTGCGCTAAGAGAATACATGCCGCCATGCGATGATTGGACTGAAGTCAACATCAACGCAAAGCTAGTCACCATCGTTGCCAAGGTATCGGGTCGCATTTTTGTTGGCCCAGAGCTATCCCAGGATCCCGAGTACCTTGATGCCGCATGCAACTACACCATAGATCTCATCAATGCTGTTAACGGAATCAAAAGGTTGCACCCGTGGTTGAAGCCCTTTTTGGCGTCACGCACCCCAGAACTCATTGCCCTTCGCAACCGTGAGAAACAAGCCGAGAAAATCCTGCAGCCTCTTGTCGCCAAGCGACTAGCTGCTAAAGCCGAGGATCCCAACTGGCAGGAGCCAGACGATGTGCTGCAATGGATGATCAACCGAAGTGATGGCAAGGAGTCTGTGGCGATGCTCGCCAAATACCAACTTGCGATTATTTTTGCCGCTATTCACACTACCACCATGACCGCCACAAATATCCTCTACACTCTTGCTGTTACACCAGAGTATATTGAACCGATCCGAGAGGAGGTCCGCAATGCCATGGCTGAGAATGGTGGTATCCTCACATTCCGTGCACTCCAGCAAATGGTCAAGCTAGATAGCTACATGAAGGAGGTTACGCGACTCTACCCTCCTGGTATCAGTAAGTAAAAAACCACTCGTCACACCCACCTTTTATCCTCAAGAAAAGAAAAAGAACCCCTTTGGGGAAAGGAATAAAAGAAGCGCTTCTATGCTAACATGTTTTTTTAACTCTATAGCCTCCTTCACCCGCCGCACACTCAAAGGAATCACTCTCAGCAACGGCCAGTACATCCCCCCGGGTGTCCTCATCGAAGTCCCCTCGGCCGCCATCTACACCGACGAATCCGTCTATCCCTCCTCCGACTCCTTCGACGGGTTGCGTGCCTACAAAGCGCGTTCCACAGGCAAAGCCAGCGACATTGCCCGCAACCAATTCGTCACAACCAACGAAGATAATCTCTCCTTTGGCTATGGTAGACACGCCTGCCCGGGCCGTTTCTTCGCCGCCAATGAAATCAAAATGATAGCCGCCCGCCTCATCCTCGACTACGATGTGAAGATGCCCAATGGCGAGACGGAGCGCTATCCCCAGTTGGAAATCGGAAAGCAGCTCATGCCTAATCCCACCAAGACACTGGCGTTTAAGAAGGTGATTGTTTAAACAAAAACAAAAACAAAAGAACTTTGGAGAGATGAGGAATTGCGTATGTATTTATGCAGCAGTTACTAGTATACAATATATATACACGGACATGTATACTAGTGGGGTTTGTTACTACCCATATCAACTTGGGAGGGGTTTCTTTTTGTTTCAAGTAAGAAAAAGAGGAAAAGGAACAAATCAAAGATCAATTTACCAGATTTCATAACAAGGGTGCTTTCTTTTTTTGGGGGGGGGGCGTAAACAACAAAATGCGCCGCATACATGCATCATCTTCGGTTAAACAACCAGAAGTAACCCAAAGTGAACCCACCCCACCCCCCCGTTCGTCCCAATGCAGCCGTGCCATATTCTTACATGCATTCGCTTATTTCCTGTTCGAAAGCGCTTTAATCCAACGACCATTCATACTCCTGTTACATGGCGTGTTTCCAACTGTACTCGTAGCATAAGAATTCTGCTTGTTTTTTGGATGTTTCCCAAACATGTACTATCTTCTTTTCTTTCCAACACATCCTAGTCCTCCTACATGAACGTTTCTCTTCACTGCAAAACATGTCTGAAGGAGAGGAGAGGAAAACGGGAAACAACTGTGCTCCAAGATAAACTATTCTGTCCATTGTCTCCAATCATGTTCCTCTGTTTGCTTCTTCAGCTTCGTCCTATATACTACATAGTTCAACTCACCCAGCTCACGCAATCTAGTATCGCTAACCCCCCCCCCCCCCCCGTCCTAATCCTCCTTCAGCTATACATTACAAAATCGCTTCAAGTATTCAAGCACGCCTTCGTTCCATCGTCAACCCCCCTTCCATTGTCATCCTTGATTACTCCCAAGCTCCAACCATGCACAATGATTGAGATCCAACCAAAGAAAAAAAAAGTGAAAAAAAAGATGTGAAGGTGAACCCTAGAAGAAATCCCCCTCACCACGGGTCGCTTGCAGCAGTGAATGATGCCGTTGTTTCCATGTGTGGTATCTGATCAAAAGCAGGGAAAAAAAAAAGCGGTGGAACAAGTGTCGAGGCATTACAAGTGGCAGAAAAAAAGCAAACAATAGATAAGGGATAATCGAGATCGGTACCGGTGACCAGCAACTCCTTCCAACCCCAGGTTCAAGGAAGAAGGACAAACGGGCTCCAAACTCGCAAGATGCTTGATACAGGCCATGTATGATGAGTCATATGCTGTAATGTACAAAGGCGCATTGTTGGAGATGTTACAAAGTGCCGTATTGTCTCGATACATGGACCAAGGGCCAATCCGTAGCAGCCGATGAACGAGAACTGACATGGCAAAAGCACTGACAGTGTTGACTCCAAACCCGGAACCGAACAACGTGCGTGTGCCAGTAGAATTTCCGTCCGTGTGTGCGCGTGGGCGATGAGATGGAATCCTAGATAAAACGCCCCAGGGTCCGTGCAAGATGCCCAGGCCTTGCAAAGAAATCGAAAAAACGAGGTGGTCTATAAACGTGCTTTTGCAATGCAATCCATTTTTGCGGGTATTTTCGTCTGGCGTGGCCACGTTAGGTAGTCGACATAAAGGAAGAATGTGTTAGGGACCGAGATCCGGCAGTCCCTCTCCGGGAAAGGCCATGGGCTCATGACTGGCAGTCGTCCATGAACGAGTTCTTGGGCCAATCGTATGGAGTAGATTTCCTAGACTATGTCAGTAGTGCTCTCATTTCGTGGTAATATTGCGACTCACCAGTTGGTAAGGTTGGGGTTCATGTAGGCCGCGGGGTGCTTTTTGATATAGTCGGTAGTAGGGTAGCCCTCGGGATCGCAAGTAACGATCTGATTGTCCTCTGGCTGGTAGATGCGAATATAGTCCACCCGCATAGTGGCGGGAAGATCCTTGGCAATTTCTTCCAGGTTGATGGCTGCGAAACTGTTCGACATTCCAAAATTGGCAATGATCGACAGAGGTTCCTCGGGGATGGTACGTGTGCCAATATTACCGTTGGGGCGGATGGACGGGGCGTTCATGGTCCAGGTCTTGTCTGCACCAACATACCATGTAATGAAGCCATCGGATCCGGTCTTGTATTCGAAAGAATACGTCTGGTATTGCTTGCCGTCATACCAGTCGTTGTTCAAGTTAGTCAAGCCAGAAATAGCTTGTTGGAAAGGGCCACCCTTGTAGGCGTTCATGCTGGTAATCGACTTGTCGTAGACTTCCATGTAGTCTGCCTCAAGTTAGTCAAAGATAAAAGTGTCTGGAAAGTGTAATCATTACCGTAGTCAGGTTGGTACCAGATATCGAAAGGCGCGGCTTGGAAGGATTGAGAAACGACACCGACGGCATTGCTCTCTCCGGGGCCGAGGAAATGAACTGAACCTTCGAGTGCATCGATTTCCGGTGCACTACGAGATTTGCCAGGGGATGGGTGATCTTCTCCGTTGCATGTGCAAGCGGGCAGCTTCATTCCAGGCAAGTAGCTGAGACCGTCGTATGAGCTTTGGTTTGGTGTGATACCAACGTCGCATTCGTCATGATAACTATATGGCCACAAACCCTCTGTAGATGCCAGATAGCCGGGACGGGCAAGGTTACCCATGGTCCAGAAACCGGGCCAGAAACCACTAACATTGCCGCGTCCTGGGAGCGAGATACTGGCCTCAAGGTGGCCACCCTTGTAGCATAGCTTGTTCCATGACTGGACCATACCGGAGCGGTAGTCGAGACCGTGGCTAGGCTCCGCCGAGAACCTGAGGTTCAGAGTACCGTCTTTAGTGAAAGCCTGATCTGGGTCGTACCACTGGAAAACGTTAGTGTGACCGGGACGCCAAGGAGTTCAACAAAACCTACCTCCAAATCCATTGTGGCGCCATACCAGATGTCCACGGCTTGAAAGTAGGGGTCGTCACCATCGTAAAAACTGCGACCATCGGTATTGAATTCATCGGAGAAGACCAAGACTTGTGTCTCGCCGTTGGCGCCAATGCGGGTCATGGCTTCCTTGGGCGTGTCTGGATCGATGAGGCCTGTGCGAATGTTTTTGAGTAGTGGCTCTTCTTGCTTGCCTGGTATACACAACGGGTTGCCTGAGCATGGTGTCTGTTTTGGCGCTGTGGCTTTTTCAACAAAGGTCCTAGTAAAGACAAGTCAGCCTCGACAAAGGGCAATGTATCGAAATCAGGAACGTACAGAATCGGGTAACCGATGAAAAGCATGAGAATGCCAAGAGCAAGGATTGCTAGACCGCCGACATTGACTATACCTCTGCGGGTGAATACGTCGCAGTCTCTCTTGTCTTTATCGTTGGGATCGGGGTTATGCAGGTAATCGTCTTTTTCAACGTCTTCAGGGAAAAGTAAAAGTCCGGCGGAGGGCAGAATGTTGAACTTTTCAGACACTGTCTGCGTATTCAGGTCGTCCTCACTGCCAGCGCGGGATGGGGCTCTCGAGTCGTCAAAGGGCGAAGCGAAGGGTGCTCCGGTAAAGTCTGAACTCCAGCTCGTGCGTCTCGACGACAGGCCCGACGGAGACTGTAGCGGGGACTCGTCCCGATAGGACCTGGGCCGTAGTCTTCCAGGCGGTAGTAGCATCTCGGCAGACTCTGCAACGGAAGCGTTGGCATAGACATGGGGCGCGCCGACGCTCTGAGAGGTTGCTGGGCGGATGGGCTGTGTTAACGAGCGGGCGGTTGTTGTTCGCGAAGAGCTTGGTCGCACCGACGGTGTGGGGAGATCGTCGGTATTGGGCTGTTGGCTCCCCGAGTTAAGGCGGAGGTGGGGAGGGCCTTCTCCCCTTGGTGATTGGGGCATCATGGCGTGCGTGGGTGAGTGAGTGAGCGAGCGTGTGCGATAAGCGATAGTGGACGGTGAAGCTATCTGACTATTCAGATATCCCGTGGTAGACCAAAAGCCAGTGATTTAGGAGAGACAGGAGGCGGTATGGATAGTATTCGTTATTGCTGGGTGAAACGAGTGTCGCAACCACGAATGGGCCGGTATTCAGGTGGCGGATGGAATTCCAAAAAGAGTTGCTGGCTGCGAGGACACGACGGGCGGTGGAAAACAAAGGGAATCCTCCACTCCTGTTTGCAAGGCCTGTTGTCGGCAGAGGCAGGGCGAGCAAAGGCGGCGAGCAAAAAGACAGCTGGGAAGCGCAGCTGGTGTCGTGTCGTGAGGCAGGAGAAAAGGGAGATGGAGATTCAAGGGGAAGTCGAATGGCTCCTGGCCCAGACTGGGAGGGGGGAGGCGGCCGGGATAAGGGCGATGGGCCAGGAACGCGTGCGTCGCAAAAGCTTGGCGGCTTTCAACGGGCAGGAACAAGTGACGCAAGAGACAGAAAGCCGGGCGCTAAATCGAGGATGCAGATGATGGGCAGTCAGCAGCAGTGGGCGTGTGGGATAAAGCAAAAGTGCGTCGTAAACGGGATGGGAATCAATCGACGAGGGGCGGGTGCAGAGAAAGGCAGAGCGGCGGGCGCCGTGGGCAAAGGGTGGCAAGATGGTTGGGAGAGCTCGGGCGTCGAGTGTTCCTGAATTTGGTACCCACTCCGGCTCCACCTGGAGACAGAGGAGACGACGACGACGCCGGCGCAGGCATAGTGGCATAGTAGAGACAGCCAGACAGGGCGCTTGCATGCGGCGAACATCAGAGGCATGGCATTGGCCGGCACGTTTCAACACAAGTCGTGAGCTACCCTGCCCTGGCGCCCCGTGGTGGAGCCGGGGCAGTGCCTCGCTGTCCAAATTGCGATTTCATGCTTTGCTATCCTTTTCTGTCGCGAGCGACAATCCCGAAGACGACGACGACGACGACGACGACGACGACGCCGACGGCAACGACACAGGCTCGGCTGCAACCGTCGCGGCCATGACGGTGTTGACGGCCTCGCCATCGCCTGCACTGCCTTTTCTTTTCGCCGCCGTTCTGCAGCCTCGCCCATGGGCGCAGCCTGCTGTTTCTACAGAAACGTTGCTGCACGCGGTCTGCTGGCCAGGCAAATGTCGAGCATGTGTGGGCGCCATGCCATCTTTGCTTTGCCCTCTTCAATAGCCTGGGGATCATCGCCAAACCCATTACGCGTCGCACCACATATAATCAGCGAGCTGCCAGCCCCCAGGAGCGACGGCCTCTAGAGTATGTAAACCACTGGCACGCTACCACAGATGTGCAGTCCAAGTCGAGGCGTAATGTCTTCAACCCTTTGTAGCCGGCGTCGGTTGAGGCTGGCTGGCTGCATGTCCGTGTCCATGTCCACAATCCCCCTCTCTTATCGCGCCTTGGTGCTTCACCACCGTATCGTTGCCGCAAATAGCGTGGCGATCTAGCTCCTCTTTTTATGATCCTCCTTCATCCTGCTCGCCTCCCCGACACAGCTCTGTTACGGCTCTTTGACCAGCTGGCAGTCCTGCCCACGGCATGGACGCTGCCTGGACCAAACAGTTGACATGCCGAAACAAGACGTGCTCTTTGCACATGTCGTCATTGTCACCCATTATCGTCCTCTTTTCCTTACTGACATCTGTCTGTCTGCCGGTCTGCCGGTCTGTCTGCCTGTCTGCCTGTCTGTCTGTCTGTCTGTCTGTCTGTCTGCGGGCTTGCGGTCAAGGCGCGCGAGGCTGAGCTAGGGTGTATCCGAAATGAAAAGCTCGTAAACGTGCAGCACCACCCACGCGCTTCTGGACTCTGCCGACGCTGCCACCTCCGCCCGTGGCTTACCCGTGATTGGCGCAACCCCGTCACCCCCAGCCGGCCAATCAATGCGCCCATGTCACATCCCCAGTACTGCAAGGCTGAGCCTGCCCATGCCCGGAATACCTGGCTCGGCTTTTAATCACTGCCTACGGTACCGTCGACCAAGTCTCATTCCCAGGACCTAGTCAACACCAGCCAGCCTCTCTTCAAGCCTAGCCTGCTCCGCTTCACACACGTCATGTACACAATTTCTCTCCCAATAAAACACCATCTTGATCGTCGCCTTGTTGAACGGTATGCTCCACTATCTAGCACCCCTACCGCTGCATATCCACCTTGCCATCCCAGCCACTACGACGTTTCAATCGGCTTTATTCGCGCAATGACCCTCGCGCCTTTACCGGCTTGCCCATCACATCACGTTCGCTTTGTGCTAAGTATATGCCCGGCCCCGACAGCCCCCCCCCCTTCCCTACGACTCTATAGCCAGTGCTTTAAGCCCTACAATCCTGCCCTCTTTCTCGTCCACCCCTACAACATAGTACTCTGCCCTCGTGCCTTCTAGCTCGACGCGGAACACTTTGACTGTGCCATTGGTCGCCAGCTTCACCGTGTCAATCACGCCCTTGTACTGTGACTCGAAACCAGTCCCCTTGACTTCCTCCACTTTGTTGCCTCCCAGGAGCTTCGCGAGATCCTCTGTGTCCAGCGTTAGCAATTCCTTCTACTCCTCATGCATGGAAATTTAAAATAGCCGAAAACGGCCACCCTTACCACTAGACACGCTGCTACCCTCAAACTCGAGTGCCACAGGCTCAAACGGCTCGTCGGATTCACTGATGTAGTACTCCTTCACTTCCTTGAGCCTGTTTGGTACTGCCGTGTTGACGCTCTTTGTCCCATAGCTCTTCTGTGATGCTTCTTTTACTTCCCCCGACCCTGTGTCTTGGTTCGCTTTATCGAGAAACGCCGCGTAGTCGGCGTCCGAAGACATGGTTCGTATCTGCGTCTGACTGATGACCCCGCACAATGCTGAGGGCGAGAATGTCGTCTTTGGCTGCCTAACAAGCTGGCCGAGTAGCTGTGGGTGATGTCGCTCCTTCCTTGGTCTTGTGTTGCCCAGAGCGCAATCAATCTTTTGCGCACTTTCGCGATGCAAGGTCGTGCGACGAGAACAGTGATGAAATACCCGTAATGTGTTCAACAAACGCTGTCCCAGCTTGCCCATGATGCTAGAGCCATAGTCTAGCCGTGCGATGACGCAAATGCCCATGGCGCGTGGCCCTCCAAAGCCAGCCAAGCGCAACCCCACTCTCACCCTCCATGTACCTACTAAGACATACTATGTCCTACACTGCACACAAATTGATACCTTCACTCTCATCACGCAAGCACACCCAGAATTCCATACTGACTGCTATAACATTCTTGGCTAATTAGAAAATACATACAACACCCGCAGAAGCGGTTACACTATAATGCGCAGGGTATCATCGCCGTGTAGGAGAGCGTTATCACGTCCCCCACATTCTACCTTGACCTCAATCCAACTACAAAACCACAGCCGGACCCTTCGTCACAAAAACTCCAACCCAGAAAAAAGAAAACCGAAGTCATCTGAGCAAATCTCACAAAACAAACAGTGTATGTGTGCAGGAAAAAAAAAAGACATGATAGCAACACTTGACGTGGCCCAAGCCCTGCCCTCTGCTGTCATACTTATGGCTTTTGCTCAGCGGCAAGAGCATGAGTCACGCCGTTGGTAGGCGCAGTGCGTGGGCTGCTCCGCTCAGATTTCGCCGCATTTGGCTTCGAGTCATCACCTTCATCATCGTAGTTCTCATCCACATCCATGTGGCGAGCAGCCGGTTCGTGGTGCTCAGGACGCTCTTGCTTCGATGTCTCCGACATGCGGGACAGTGGTCGCGCAGTAGCCATCGGGGGAAGCGAGGGTGGGTGGTGAGCAGCCTCAGATGGGTGATAGCCATCGTTGAACCGCCTGGGGTCAGGGCCATCCTGTGGGCTCTGGCGTGGCACTTGAGGCGACGACATGCGGTGTGGGGGTGTGGGCCGACGGCTGTGAGGCTCTTCAATCTTTTGGCGCTTTTCATCATTCGTAGGTGGCTTGGCGGTAATGTGGTCATTCTCCTCCCATTCGCGATGTCTCTTTGGCGGTGCAGTTGGAGGACGCTCATCACGATCGCGGGCAGCTTGCTCAGCAGCAGCTTGAGCCGATGCTGGTGGAGGAGCACCACTAGCGATACCACCGCCAGTAGAAGAATCAGGGTGATGCTGGTAAGGGCCCTGGTAACCGTTACGTGGAGATGCGGTTCGATTCTCCACGATAGGGCGCACCTCGGGGGCAGGGCTACTAGGACGGGCACTGTATGGAGGAACAGCACCTTGTGTGGACGCTTGACTTGGCGGACCACCAAGACCAGTAGGTGGTGGGGGTGGTGGGGGAGGCACACTGCCAGCGTGAGGCCCGTAGTTGGGATTCGAGATACGGGTAGGCTGGGGTGGCTGGGGTGGTGGCTGCTGGTGCACAGGCGGCTGCGGTTGCGCGTGAGCTGCTTGAGGCGTGAGCTGCGGTGGCTGAGGGTGGTAGGGACTAGGAGCAACATGGTGTGTCTTTGGAGATGGAGACATGCCACGACGCATCGGTCCTGGGACAGGAGGTGGAGGGCCGGCAGGGCCCTGAGGACCAGGGCCGCTGGTAGGAGGGCGTGGAGGCTCTGCGTAGGGCCTAGGCGCTTCCTGTCTCGGGCTAGCAGGCCTCTGAGGAGCATGCTGAGTAGGAGGACGAATGCCCTCGCGCTGCTCATATGGGTTCAATTGCTGAGGCGGTAGGCCCGGATCGCGAATCTGAGCAAGAGGGCGGTCCCAGCCAGCCGCCAGAGCAGGAGGAGCAGGGCCTTGAGGAGGCTGCTGTGGTTGAGGAGCACCCCATTGTGGAGCAGCTGGACCATGAACTGACGCAGGCTGATAAGCCTGGGGATGTACATCCTGAGGTATAGGAGCATTGCCTTGATTTGGGGCTCCGGCAGATGTCTGTCCATTCTGCAGGAGCTGAAGGCGAGCCTTGATGTGTACGTTGGATGGGTCGAGATCGGCCGCGCGCTGGTATGCGTCGAGAGCATCGGCTGTCTGGTTGTTGCAAGACTCGTACTGTGGCATTGTTAATGATGCGTCTTGAGCAAAAGAGTAATGGGCTACTTACCAGTGTTCCCAGGTCGTACCAGACTTCCGAAATGTTGGGATTCAATCGGATTGCGCGAGAGTAGGCATCGAGCGCATCGCGGTACTGGTTGATCTGGTAGTAGAGTACACCAATGCTGCACCAGAAGGTTGGGTTTCTGCCGTCACGGTATACAGCTTGCTGATAAGCCTCGTACGCCTTGGGGTACTTTTGTTGAGACATGTAACAACGACCGAGCAAGTACCAACTCTGTGCATCCGTTTGATCTGGAGCAAGAAATTAGCGGCTAGTGCATGATCAAGCTTGGTTACAAGACTTACCAGAAGCAACCGACTTCTCGAGGTATTCAATGGCCTGTTCCTGGCTCGCGTAGTTTGTGCTCTGTTGGTGATGAAGCCATCCCAGCTGTTGAAGCACCTTCGCGTGGTTGGGGTCGCGCTCGAGGACACGGCGGTAAGCGCCCTTTGCAGCTTCAAACTAGTTCATGTGTCAGCTGTTGAAAGCCTTTAGACTTTGATAGTACAAACCTCTTTCTGCTGTTCATAGACGTGTCCAATCTGGAACCAAATGTCCTCTTCAGTGAGTGGGCGAGGAGGGTTGGTGACGATATATTTGAAGCACTATGAAAAATTAGAATGTTTTCGCGCGTCGCAAGGTGCGATGATGCTTACGTCCAGGCTCTGGTTGAACTTTTGCTGTTGCTTGTAAATTATACCCAGACGGAAGTAGATCTCGTTTGCCTTCTCAAAGGTAGGCTCCATGCGCATAACTTGTGAGAAGGCCTCCTCGGCATGCTCCAGAGATCCGTAGCGGTCATAGAGGATGCCAATGCCATACCACAGTTTGGGTTCCTGGGAGGCGTTAGTTGGCTGCATTGTCGGCAAGTCAGGGAAAACATACCTTGGGATCAGAGAGGTGGTACAAGGCTTGTTGGTAGGCCGAGTAGGCCTGCTGCAGGTCATCCATCATCAGATAGCAGTGGCCTGATAGAGTTAGCAATGGGTCTGCAAAGACGCGAGATGATGTTCTTACCGAGACTGCCCCAGACATCACCATTTGTGGGGTCGACTTTCAGAATAGTGCGCAGGTACTCTACAGCGGCTGGAAAAGCATCCTTGGTGCGCAGGATGCAGGCAATGCCTTGCATAGCCGGTACAGACCATTGGTTGAACTTCAAGGCCTGTTCGTAACATTGCATGGCGCCGTCGTAGTCCTGCATTTGCTCAGATAGAGAGCCTGTTGCGTGTCAATCAAGGTTTAGAGCGCGCGCGACGCAGACATTGCTTACCCATCTGTGTCCAGACGGCCTCAGTCAATTGACCCAAGTACTGGGATGAGGTCTTTGGCTGGTTCGCGTGGGGTGGGTGGCCATTCACCTGCGCGTGCGCAGGATGCTGGGCTACATGGTGTGCTGGTATGCCCGTGGTGGGCGAAGGCTGCTGGTGCTGGGCCATGATGGCTTGCTGCGACTGAGCTGCCTAGAATGCGACGATTGCGCTACCTGGGCCGCGACAGTGGCAGGGCGGTTGATAGAGAGCAAGTGTCGTCAAGAGCGGCTATGAATGGCGCCAGGGCGGCTGGCTGGGTCAGCTGTGAGATGGGGAATGATGGTTGTGATGATGGATACTCACTGGTGGGTGCTGGGCGCGCGTCTTGCAAAGCGTGCCGGCGGGTGCGAGTCGAGGCGTGGAGAGGCTGGCGCGGAGAACGACAGCAGCGCGCAGAGGAACACGGATGATGTGGACCCCGACCTGGATCAGGCAAGTGGTATGCGATGCACCAGAGTTGGCGTGATGGCGCAGTGAGGGCTTCGGGCAGGAGCGAGAGGGAGAGGGAGAGGCAAAAGGCTGGAGTAGGATGCAGCCTCGTGGAGGAGAAGCAAGTGAGGAAGCAGCAGACGAGCGAAGAAGGAAGGGGCAGGGCGGTCCAACGCTCTTTCTCTGTGGGTTAGGGTTACTGGATGCGCCCAGGATGGGTGGGCTTTCATCTGTGCGGGACCATGGGCGACGATATCCTGGTAAGCGCGCTAGTGCAAGCCACACCGGGGTCCGCTATTTCTCTGAGCGACCCGTTGCCAGCAAATTGCGTGCCCAGCATCATCACCACCGACGCGCTGCCTATGCGCCCGCACCCTGTTCCTGCGCCTGTGAGACGACCGGTTTGGGGCCGCTCTCGAGCAGAAAAACCAATCCTCCCCCCAAGGCCTACGACACCGACACGTCCGCTGCAGCGCGCTCGCCCGACGGCAGCAGAGCCGCCATGGGCCCCGTGTTTGTCGTGCTCCCATGTCGTGCTGTCACAGTCAGGAAACGAGGTCGTGGTCGATCCGGTAGCGTTCGTGCCAGGTTCAGCGGGCTCCGCTAAGTACTCGGTTGTGATGGATACGCTACCACATGGCGCTATATGCGCCTCGTACATATAGTGAACAGATGAATCTTATTTGGCCGGTGTTCCAGCACCTATACACCATCGGCACCAGGGCGCCACTGGGTGCTGTCATTACTCGGGCTCGTGCCTGGTGTCTGGCAGCTTGGATCGCGCAGCAGCGGCGTTGTTGCACCACTTTTTCAAACGTCGGCAGCATGCCTAGCCTTGAGGGCTGGGTACGGGAGGAGCGCACATTGTGGTTATACTGCCCTCTAGTACAAAACAAAATGACGCCCTTTGATGAAATACTCGGCATGTGGAATGTGGGTTGGTCAAGTGCATACAAGTCAAAGCCACGATCCTCTTGTCCCGGGCGAGCTGCGAGGGCGATGGTTGTGGGTCGTGGGTCGTGGGTCGTGGGTCAGGAC